AATTACCTTTTTAAAAAATAGAACGATACTTCCCTATCCCTATTTTCAACCCGGCTTGTTTAACTGACTCTGTACCTTCTTTTACGACTGACCACGGCTACCTGTTTAACGGATTTTGTACCTGCTACACGACTGACTCACGGCTAATCTTTTACGGACTCCCAAGCACTAAACTATTAAAATGGAAAGCGCAAAAAAGGAAACAAAAGCCTTACTCGGAGTACGACAAACAATTGCTGATACAACTGGTTCAAGCCCAAATCAATGTTATAGAGAACAGAAAGACGGACGGTATTTCTCTTAGAAAAAAAAGTGAAGCTTGGGAGGAAATTACTTCGCAGTTCAACAATTCAAACGTCACACAAATTGTAAGTAAAAGTACCTAAATAATTTAATTTTTGAAATGTTTTTAGTTTTTTTCATACAAGTAGTTTTAATTATTTGGCGTAATTTTCGTGTTAGTCCGAGTCTCATATTGATACTATACGAACGTACAGAGGCACACAAATAAGTTTAATTATAAATTCTTCCTACAGATACATTAAATACTTACCTATAATAGTTTAGAGTTGTGCCACATGTAATATTGACATTTTACTCCATTTATAATACTTGTCTACTATTCATTTTCAGGCTGATACTAAACAAATAAAAAAGATGTGGCAAAATTTAAAAACCAAAGCCAGGGATGCCAAGACTCTGGAGGCCCAAAGGAAGAGAACAGGCGGAGGACCAACTACACCAGATATGGGACCTTTGGAGTCTCAAGTTATAGCTGTCATGCCAAATGTTTTGCCATCCATCAGTGTAGAAATTGACAGTGACACATTAGCTATTGGTAAGTTAATCATGATAAAAATGTGTTATCATATTATATCATATAATTTAAAATTACTATAAATTTAATTAGCTTTTGCCTGTGACATTAGTGCCAATTTGGGTTTATTAGAAATCCTGTAGGTACACTGTTCAACTTGAATTAACTGCCATTATTAACACTGTTTAAATTAAAATAATAAAAAAAAATAACCAAGATCACTCCTTGCAAAATTCTCTACGGCCAAAATTGGTTCAGGCATTTTGAAGATATTCCATGAAGACTAGTAGATCACTTTTAACTTTTAAAAGAATATGCCTATTGCTTTATCTGCCACACATACCTACTGTATAGTTTTCCCAGTTTTTGTAAATAAAACTAACAAATGGATAGGATTTTATAATACATAATTGCATCAAATATGTATTTCTATTAAATAATTAACTCATAAGTCATATAAATAATTTTTATTTACCATTTAGCACTATTAATTTGAATGATTTAACATCTTAAATATAATTATAGTACATAGTGACTTAAAACCACATTAAGTCATACTCATGCAGGACTTAACTAGCCGATTATTGTATTTATGTTTAACTTAAGTCACACATAAAATTAATATTATTTTACAATAAAAAATATTTATTTTTATATATATATTTTTAACTTGAACTGTATTTTTAAAGTATAATTATTAAAAACACAATTACTATTACTACCATTTACTGTCACATTACAATTGCTAAAGAATATAGCAGCATATAAGCCAACATCTACATCATACAAAACTTCTGTAATTCAAGTCTTGTTGCACTTTTGGCCCTGTTAAATTAAATCTTTAGATTGATGTTGTAATTCTTATATTGAAAGTTTTATTTACTATCAAATCTTCATTCCGACATGATGTTGATATTTTAGATTTAAAATTTTTGTTTGTTGATTGTTGAACATTTTTGATTGATTTCAAATGTTTTTATTGAATTTGAGCAAATGAACATTGATTGGTAGATGATATAGATGGAGTTAGAATGGATGCTACTATATATTCTTGATTAGTATTTACATTTAGAGAAAGAATGAGAAAGAGACATCACTACTGCTTTGCTTGTTCTAACAAGATTTTTGTCTGTATAATCATTTAGTATTCTATAATTTTACAACTAAAATAGTGGATTTAACTCACATGTAATATAGGTAAAATAATTTATGATACATGGAGCTTAAATAACTGATTATAAATGTACAATTGAGAGCTCAATAATGAATAGTATTTATTTAATCAGTAAGATGACATAATTTGTACTTGTAATTTCACTTATTAGATTGTATTTCTATTTCTAGATAATACTCTTGGATTAGATAACGACGAGCAAATGTGGCTCCCAAAGAGAGCTCGTGTGTCTGATGTGGAGCACAATAATAATATAGAGATTGAAGTAATAGAAGACATATAAAAAGAAAACCCTATGCCAATTACCATTGGTGAGCCCAGCACCATCCGGTCAGCTCAGTACAGTGACCCAAAAAAACAAGCAAAACAGAAGAAAACTTTTGATGAACTAAAACAGGAACTAATACTACAAGAATTAAAATATAATAAGGAGAGATATGAGGATGAAAGGAGACGGAATGAAGAAAAATATTTAAAGGAAACTGAATTTTTAGAAAAAAAATTTGCTTTAGAATTAGAAATTTTAGAAATAAAGAAAGAAAAAGAAAACATTTTAAAAAAATAAAGCGATAAATGAATAAAATATGTTTTGTTTTACTTAAGTTTATTTCCTAATTATTTAGTTAAATTGTGCTATTATAGACTGCCGAAATGCTAGACCTGCAGTGGATGATGTTTCATTGTTTGGTCTTTCTGCAACTTCTGGTGTATGATCATTGTTACCATCATCATAAGCATCCCCACACTGTATGCCTATGTTGTGCAATACTGCACAAGCTACAATTATGTTGCTCGTATTAGTGAGCTTAGAGCGTAGGCCCAACTGTAAGCAGGGAAATTTCTTTTTCCATACTCCAAAAAACCTCTCAACTATATTACGGGTTCTTATTTGAACATAATTGTATTGGTTTTCTGCTCTTGTTACTGGAGTTATAAGAGGTGTTAAAAGGAAAGGAAGAGATGGATAACCACTGTCGCCTACTAAAACTCCTTGCAAATTCCCCCTTAAGAATCTAGCATAAGCTTGAGAGTTTCTAAATATTCTACTATCATGTGAACTGCCAGGCCAGCGGGTTACTATATCAAAAATTTCCATATTTGGACCTATAATAGCTTGTACATTAATAGAGAAATATCCTTTGCGGTTTCGGTATATTTCAGAATGGGAGATACCTCTGGGTCTATTTATTTTAATATGTGTGCAGTCAATAGCACCAATAATGTTGTTGAATCCGCGCTGAGTATTGGATCTTCCGAGTTCTTCGAATTTTCTTTTTTACCACACTCATATTGGTAGGAAAATGTATATATCTTGGTAATAAACGGCTCAATTGTCTTGATACCTTATTTATTATAAGACATACTGTGGATTGGCTTATGCCGTTCAAATCACCACACACCATCTGAAATATCAAAGAATATATGTATTACTTATTGTGTATAAAATATATTTTCTATGTATATAACCAGTAGTAGATTCTGACTAATAAAAGCCTATTTGAATAAAAAATTCATTCTACTCTATGAAACAATAATTACCTGGAAACATCCTGTAGCATAAAACCTTAATGCAATAAGTAATTGCAGTTTTGGAGAAATCGGCAAGCCTCTATTGTCCAAATGCTCCAAATTGGCAATTATTAAAGGTAATATTACATTTAAAACAGTGTTTTTATTGAATCGGTATCTTCTTCTAAATTTATTTTCGTCATACAAATCAAATGGGTTTTGGTTATATTCATTTCGAACATAGTATTTAAGCATGCACCGAAAATTGATATCTGCTGAAGTTCCCAATCTATCTATATTTCCTAAAGTAGATAGAATTCTCTCAATATTGTCCATTATAATTACAAGCTTGGTTTAAAGAAAATCGAAAAGATTCTCGATTCGAATGTCGAGTCCAAATTACTGAAACGTAGGTCGAATAGGTAGGTAGGATCGGGAGTCCAAGTTCAAAAGCCAGTCGTAACAAAAAGATCAGGAATTTCAAATATATATAAAACTTAAAATGCACAAAATATAATCAATATCAATATAAACCAAAAGCTTCTCAGTTGTAACTGTGATTTGGGATTTGACAGCGCGTGTGACAGCAAATCAAACGTTCCGCTTCCTTCTCATATTTTCAAACTAAAATTAATTAAATGTACTTGTATCTCTCTTTAAACACGCTCTTTTTCAATTTCATGTATTAGTAACATATTTATGAAGTGCAATTTGGACTGTTTTTGACCTTTAAATATATATTTTATTTTACTTTGTACAGTAAAATCAATAACATAATGCGTGGAATGAAGCATGCGTAAACTTCTTGACAGTCTGAACCTTAGCATATGCTTAGCTTAATCTCAGCCCGATACAACTATAAATTCGGAATCAAAGATTATGCTAAGCATATACTCAGCTAAGATTTTCCTAAGCCAAGTCTGAGCAAAGTCAAAGTACGGTTTATAGATCTCAGCATAAGATTCTTGTCTGATGCGTAGTATCCTCTATATTACTTTCCTCTATGGTATCCTCTTAGTAGTCTTTGCTAGGTAATAAAAAAAACTAAGTTACGTATGTAGTTTATATTACTTTATTACTCGAAATAATACAACAAAAACTTAATTAAACCTAAAATTTATTTTAATGTGTTTTCATTTAATTCGATTCAGATTTGCTCGAGGAACTGTCGTCGCTATCTTGTTCTCCAACCAAATTAAGACAACAAAGGATGCAGACCGGCAACCAAGGCATCACCACTGCTCCACTGACTGAGGTGGAAAAAAAAATTGTGTCGCTGATTGGCATTGAAGACACATTTGGCAGCGACTGCCCTGACTCTATGCCAGAGGAAGAAGTAAGTTCAGTAGTGTGTAGTAATACTATTAATAATCACTTATATACAATTTCTTATACTTAATCAAACTTCATAAATCATAGTTTTTGGTTTTAATGCAATTTACAATAATAAATAGTTTTACTATTATAGACATTACAACATGAGGTGAGGCTGGGGTGGAAATGGTAGAAGTCGTTTGTTTGTCTCAAGGTAAGTTTTTAAGATATATTAAAAATATAATGTAAATTCTGTTGCAATTTAAATGTAATTACCTACAATGTATTAAAACACAAATTATAATTACAGGTAATGAATACCAGTTGCTTGAGACTGAGAGAGATAAAGCATCGCCAGCACCACAAATTAGTAAGTTTGTTATTTTTCTTACACCTACATTCATACCTCTCTACAAAATTATATTTCACTAATATGTTTAATGTATTTGATTATTTCAGTAGCAAGTGGCAGCAGAGCCACACCTGTTGCTTCACCAGCACCCAATCAGCAACAGGTGCAAGAAATAACTCTGCAGTCAGCAGCACCACAAATAAGTAAGTTAGATCTTTGTTATTTATATAATTATTATTTACATACATTATATATTTGTGCTCCGCTGTTTTATCCACTATTTCAAGATAAAATGGTCTATGTGCCAAATTTTATATAGGTCTTCTGCTGTTTTAGTGTGATTAATAAACAACCAAAAATTCTTGCAAATATGCACCTTTATACTATTAAAGTAAGATTGTGATCATTTTATGTGTATTATTTCATCATTTCAGCAGAGAGAGGCAGCAGAGCAGCAGCTGTCATTACAACACCACCCACTGTACGACAGGAGAGGCCCAGAAGGATAAGGAGTAAGCTTTAATTTCAATTAAGTGCTAATAATATAAACATTAGTTCACAAGATGATCAGCTTGAGCAGAATAAAGCCAAAAATTATTTTAATTACAATAAAATAAATTTTGGGTATTTTTAGATCTGAATCCTCGCCGATCTACTGCCGAGCAAGCGAATATAGCTCGGGAGGATTTCCTGGCAGTTGCAAAATCTAATGCAGATTCAATGAGGGTATGTTTATAACATTACATCTACATTCTGAACTAAACAGAAGTAAAATCAATATATTTTTATGTGGTAGAGCCATGCTGCAGTTATGTTAGTAGTATAGTCATAGCATGGGGCCGGCTTGACTGGGGAAGAACCATGCCTATAACCACGATAAGTGGAGTGAACCGGAGACCCTAACCTAAACCCTTGACTGGTAACGAGGCTTTCCATTTTAGTCCTCGGGGGTGACAATGCATCTGCATTTAGATTCTTAATGGGGGGGGGGAGATGTAGACATAGACATGTGTCAAGTCCAAACATCAGGTGGACTCTGTGCTCGTGTGGCTTATGTTGTTAAAAAAAAGTAAACTATTGTTGATCTGTCAATAGATATTATATGCTACAGCATACATTATCCTAAAGATTCACTAGCATGCTAGAGAGAATTAGCAAGCATTTCTCGATCTATCTATAGTTTTTATTACAGATGCTGGCAGAGGCTGCCAACATTCAGGCCGAGGCTGCCAGAATGCAGGCGAAGGCAGCAAAAGTTCAGGCCGAGGCATTTCATTTATTAGCTCAGGCTGTTGATAAAATTGGAGATTTGCTTGTTAATAATAATAATAAATAAATTAATATGTTTAATGTTTTATTTCAATTCACTTAATAGAATAGAATCATTGTTATTCAATATAGATTTTTTAGTAATTTTTTACATTTATCACTGGTTCAAAGAATACCTCTGCCCTGGGAAGAACCAGCAAGAAACCCAGCGGGACTTTTTTTTAATAAATTCAATTTACAATATATTACTTTAAACAAATAATATGAAACATTTACTATACACATCATTACTAAAATTACATTATTACTAATATAACAGAAAACTATCGATAATTAAGTATAAGCAGTATTTGTCTTCTCTGCAGCAGCTCGCCCATTGCCAGTACTCATTCTGTAATAAAATCATAAAAGTTTAAGATTATTCTAATATTACAAAAACAACATAGTCTAATTTAATATTACCAAAACAACATTATTACCTGTATCTTCCAAGTAATCATCATTATAGCTATCAACAATCATTTCTGTGTATGTGGTAACATATGGTTCCATCAATCTATATTTAACATGCATGTTGTGTAGCACTGCACATGCATTTACTATAAGACCAGCAGTATATGCCTCATACATTAACTGGCGTTGATGAGACAGACACCTAAAAACAGACTAGCACACCAAAGCATCTTTCTATGATGTTTCTGGCTGAACCATGAGCATCAGTGTATCTACGCTCCGGTGTCCAAAGGTGTTGATTTTTTATTGGGGTCATCAACCATGGCTCCAGAGGATATCCATCATCACCTAAAAGTTTTAACATCGAATATACATTTGGCAGTCTTACAAACATTCTGTTCTAGTAACCTTGGTCTTTAACCTACCGAGTAACCATGTACGGCGATCCCCATTGTCAAAATGTCGCTTCATGGTGGAGCATACAGGTGAATTTGCCCATATGTGAGCATCGTGTCTAGCTCCTGACCATTTAGCATTGATGTTCAAAATTAACAAGTCTGGGTCACACACCTAAAATAATTTAAAATAAACTTAGGAGTGTATTTATTTGTGTTAATAAATAATTAATAGATTTATTTATTATTGATGATGTTCTGGAGTGTAACTAGGTGCAATAAAAATATAATCTAAGCCCTTAAGACAAATGAGTATAATTTAAACTTTTTCACTTAAACTGGAAATGTATCCAATAACACTTTTTACTATCAATAATAAGGGGAAGATACTTTGCTCATGTTTTTAAGCATATGCAGGCTGGAAATAGCCTTAATACCTGTTGATCCCAAATTGTTTTGACTAAGCTTTTGATATTAGATTACTCATAAACATGATAATTGAAGGGCTAAGTGGACATAGGTGTTAAAAATACGGTAAAGAAAAACCCAAGGACAAGCATATAATGCAAAGCAACATTCAATTACAAGTGCTATGAAAAGTTTTGTGGTATTGACCTCTGTTCTCAATACTATAGCTTAAAAGTAACACTGAAAAAAAATGTATCTCCCAAAATTCATCAGATCTGAAAATGTCAGAAGAGCACTAACAAACCAAAAAAGGAAAAGAAGCACAACTTATATCTGTGTTCTACCAAATGATGGTACCAACATAAAAGTTTGTAAGACTGTATTTTCCAATATGTTTCAAATTGCTTATAGAAAAGTAACAGCCATTTAATCAAAAATTAAATTAAATGACGTGACAACGTTCAAAGTACAATGGAGTAAAACTCATACTTATAAACACAAATTTATGTAGAAAATTACATAGGTACTATGTAATCATATTAGAAGTTTTCCATCTGAAAGTTCTCATTATTTTTGTATACAAAATATCTACAAACAGTATCCATTACTTTCTGGTAAAAAGACGTATTCAATGCATATTTAAAAATGTAGGGAAAAAAGAAAACTACCAGATCAATCTCATCAAGGATTGCACTTATAGCAATATATTCAATACAAAATTTTAACATATTGTTGCGCGAATAAGACGATGGCACTAGCGCCATCTGGTATCGGGCAACAGAGCGAGGAGAGCTTTCCCGAAAATACATGACTAGTCTTTCAACCAACAGCGCCATCTAGTATCGAACAGAAGAATTAAGCTTTCTGGAAGCCGCACACTCGAACTTTCTGCGCTTGGTCGGTTGGCGCGCGTATTTACTTGAATATTCTGGATGTATTCGTGGAAGAGCCCTATATAAAGGCGCTGCAATACGCGATCGGGGAAGGTATTGAATTTGGCGAGACAAGTGAAGCTTCGGAGCGAAATAAAGTGAATCAGTGTGATTAATTTTTAGTGTTTTAAGTTTTATTTGGTGTAAAGAAAATTAAAGTGTTAATTTAGGTAATTCTATCGGCAATTTTTGTTGTCCCGAACCTCAAGCTCGTAATAATATCATTTAAACAGCCTAGAACAGTGTGTGTAACAAATGTGATTCAAATACACACACTGAAGAACATATTGATGACTATAAAAGAGCATTTGAGTTACAAAAACAAGAATAGAGATGGGTGTTAGTGGACAAGATATAACATATATTTTGACATGCAACAGACTCAGCCTCTAGCTGAAATCCCCATATCAAAGCATGTTATTTGAGGCAAGTATCGTTTTATAATGAAGGTATCCATATCATTAATAGAGATGGGCATAGGTCTTATTTTGGCACTGGAAAGAAGACTAGTGGAAAGGTTTCAGTGGTTTTACATTATTATTCTAAAAATCTCAATAATTAATAAATAGCCTTGTAAAAACCATAATTTTTTTAATAATAAAACTATTTCATATAAATAATGGTAAGTATTTAATTTTTTTACCACATAGAACCATTATAAGTTCTTCTTAACAAAACTTAATATGGTTTATAGTAAACAAAGGTGATATGCTCACATTTTCATTGATTTTTAATAAATTTGCATAGAATAACCTATTTTTAATATAATATATATAATAATTAATCTTATCTAAGTATTGATACTAATACTGTATTGTAAAACTAAGATTTCTCATCATAGTAATGTAATCACTTAGTTAAGAATGTCGGTATTGCACTGAAATAGTTTTAATACATTATTGTAATGTAATAATGTAATAGTAATAAATGTCATCGAGCCATATTTAGTTATTTTAAAAAGCTTCAGCACCGCTCCCAAAACTTAATTAGCAAGTAAATAAGTAAACAATAATTACTGAAGATAAACTTACAACTTGTACATTTAATGAATGGCCCTCATGGTGACCACTCACATATGCCTCTTCATGAATTTTTGGAGCTAGAATTTTTATGTGTGTACAGTCTATAGCTCCTATCGCATCAGGAAATGGTTGTGGGGTATTCCTAAATTTTTCTTTAGCTGCACGCCGCTCATCATGGGTCATAGGGAATTTTATATATCTTCTCACTAATTTTTCATCAATAGCCTCGGTTACAGCATGTATAACTCGGCTTACCGATTTTTGGCTCATGCTGCAACCCCACTGCAGGCCAACAGGTAGCTGATAGCACCCACTTGCATAAAATCGAAGTGCCGTCAGTATCTATATAAACTAAGAGTTAATACAAACGAAAAAGAGTAAGTTTTTAGGGGTATATAGGCAATTACATGATGACACTCACTTGGGACTCCACAGAAAGTTCGTAAGGCCGTTGTTTTTGAAGAGATGACCGAAGAACACCTACGAGCCCGCTAAACATATTTTTTGTAATTCTGTAAAGGTACAGGAATTCAACATTGATTTATATAACACTAAATCAGTAATAACCGCGCCAAATCGTTGCCACTGCATATATGAGCATATGCCGATTCATGCCGTGAGTTCATTGTTCAATGTGACGCCGACAGAGTTGAGCCGCGACAAAAATGGGTAAATGCGTAGTGAAAGAATGCTATTCAAGGTCACAAAAAGTAATAAATCAAGCGGAATCACTTTCAACACATAATTTTTAGTTCTTGTTTTCATATAAACGTAAAAAAACCTCAAATAATTCAATAAAATTGTCGAATATTGCCATTTAGGTTCAATGTTGCCACTTTTCTGCATTTGTGATTATCCTACATTAATGGGAGACTATATAATTAATGGAGTAAGTTAATTTGATACCTCTGATTTTAAATATTTTGGAAATTATAATAAAAACTACGTTTTAACTTTCATACAAAATAATTAATTATTCTTATTTTAGTTTATTCATGAATTATCTATTAAATATATTTTATTACCTATTTTATATTAATAATTTTATATTATTTATAATTTCATATAAATTTTTTATTAATTATATTTTATTACCTATTTTATATTATTTGATTTATTAGTACCATAAAAATACGTTTTATTTCATCATTATGTTTACTTCTATTCATCTGATAAGCTTTGTATCCTTTTTTCTAAGGGGACGTAATAAAGATTTAAAAATAAAATATACTTTTTTAATATAAAAACAATTAACTGCAGCTTAAAAAAAACTCATTTTTATTGCGTATTTTAGGTAAAATTTCATATAGTAAGCTCTTCTTCTTTATCTAATCTTAGCGACGACATTGTTTTCGCAACTTGTGTAAGTGAGATAGATATATGTTTACTTAAAATTGTTATTAGTTTCAAAGTTACGTCGTCGCGTTTGGATAGTGGTTACACTTTTTTCGACGCGCTGTAATGTGGTTTGCTCCTCTAGTGTTGTATAACTCAATGGAATTCACTATCCTCTAAATCTAAGGGATTTTCCCTTTCGCGCCGGTTTCGTGCGATTTGCCGCCGCATAACCATAACACGCCTGTGTTCTAGTTCTGACAAATCCCATGCTAAATATGATTCCGCCATAATTACTTAATACTTTTATTATAACTTTATATTATAATAGATAAAGATTATTTATAAAACTGTGAAACAACTTATGATCGTAACGAACACTTAGCGGGCTGTCAAAAATGATAGCTATTAGCTAAAATAATAGCAAACATAACAAATAATTGTAAAGTTTACGATCGGTACCGATAGCTTTGACAGTACAGACAAAATCGTTATATTCGGATTGTTATGACTTAACAACCG